ATAAAAGGGTGGTGGTGGCCATTTGGACCTCTGTGATGGACAAAAGCTGAATCTCTGGCAAAGTAGTGTGCTGTGGCTTTAAACTGTGTGTATTGTTTTTGTTTCTGTGTGTTTGGAGTAAAAGGTCTTGGCAGGCAGCTACGGAGCTGCTGCCAAGTTTCTTATCTGTGAAGTGGTGTCTGGAGAAGTCTTTAACCCTTGGCTGGCTGTTTGGGTGTGTGGGTCGGAACGGGGACAGAACAGGAAGGAAGAGGTTCAGGCTGGCCACAGCCTAAAATCTCTCAGGATATACTTAGCAGATTAGAAGGTTATAGGTTTAATTAGGGAAGATTCCGTCTATTAGGTGCAAGCAAATAAAAGGTTGGGCTCTGTGGTCTTGGGTCTGAAAGTAAGAGGCTAGATTGGAAAATCAGATCGGCATCCTGGAAAAAAGCACGGGTAAAGGTGTTACCTTTTAACGTTCATTATAAATTCAATTTGTTTATTTTGTTCTGGGCCAGGAAAAGCCACCACCAACTGGCTGGTCCAAGAGTTCACACAGCAGCTGAAACGGGCCCGAAAGGAACAAAATCTAATCTTTTGAGAACTGATTGTAAATTCATCAGCCTCTCATTGCTGAAACCCATTTTTTCCTCAACCCAGCCTATTTCTCAGAGTTCTTTATGCGGACACAAATGGGAGAAGTGAGCACTATACAGGTAGTCCTCCATTTACAACAGTTCATTTAGTGACCGTTCAAAGTTACAACAGCACTGGAAAAAAAAGTGACTTATGACCATTTTTCACACTTACAACCGCATCCCTGTGGTCACACGATCAAAATTCAGATCCTTGGCAACTAGTTCATATTTATGACCATTGAAGTGTCCTGGGGTCACGTGATTCCGTTTCTGAGGCCTTCTGACAAGCAAAGTCAATGGGGAAGCCAGATTCGCTTAACAACGTTGTTACTAACTTAACAAATGCAATGATTCACTTAACAACTGTGGCAAGAAAAGTCATAAAATGGAGCAAACTTACTTAACAAATGTTTCGCTTAGCAACATAAATTTTGGACTCCATTGCGGTCGTAAACTGAGGACTACCTGCATTTACTGCTTTTACTTCCTGGAGGGAAGGCAGAATATAAACTGAACGAACGGATATTTTTTAAGACATTACAAGATGGAGTGGAGCGATCGTACCTAAGAGATTAAACTGGTACAGGTTGCATTTTGGAGCTAAGCAGATGTTCCAGAGTCCACTATGAACCATGCCTCTGTGAGTTGTCTCCAGTACCCAGTAAGAGGTACTCAAGGACATGTATTCCAACAGCAGACTTCCAGCTGAGCAAATGCCACTGCTGATCTTCAGGGGTTGAGTCAAGAAAGACAAATTGATCTCTAAACTGGTGACGCTTGTTAACGAAACTGCAGTGGAAGGGATTTCTCTAGATGGAGGATGAAGAAAAAGACTGTAAATTTAGAGTCATTATGATTGTTTCTAATTTATTTTTTAATTCCTGATGAATGATCATTTGGAGGAAAGTCCTGGGTCTGGTAAAACATGCAAGGATCTCAGATTGTAGTTCAAGGACCTAGGCCAGTGATGGCGAACCTTTTAGAGACCGAGTGCCCAAACTACAACCCAAAACCCACTTATGCATCGTCGGGTGCCGGGTGGGTGTGGTCATTGGCTGGGTGTGGCCCATTGGCTGGGTGTGGCCCATTGGCTGGGCGTGGCTGCAGTGGTAATGGCAGACTGGGTGGGACTAAAAAGTTCAATCAATCAATTCCAACTTTGCAAGATCTTTTTTTTCCCGTGAGAAGTTGAAGTTGTCTGATTGATTGAACTTTTTTTTTTTTTGCACACGGCATCTGAGGCCTAAAGCAAAAGGGTTTTATAAAACCCAGCTGAAGGCCTAGGACTGGGATGATGGCACGCGTGCCCACAAAGAGGGCTCTGAGTGCCGCCTTTGGCATCCATGCCATAGGTTCGCCACCATTGACCTAGGCTGTACTGGAAACATTCCTCCGAGATTTCTTGTTCAGTGTGTTCCCTCACTTAGGAGTAAAATAACCCAGTAGGATTTTCCAAAGCACCAGAAGGCAAGACAAGAAGCCATGGATGGAAACTAATCAAGTGAAGCAACCTGGAATTAAGGAGAAACTTCCTAACAGTGAGAACGATTAACCAGTGGAACAGCTTCCCTTGAGAAAGCGCTTCATCACTGGAGGTTTTTAAGAAAAAACTGGACAGTCACCTGTCTGAAAGAGT